ATGATATTGAATTCTGATTGTGTGCTTATATAATTGTTATATATCGTACCTATGAACACTAAGTCCCAATCCTCATAAATACGTTGGACACTATTGTAAGTGGGGTTAATGTGCTGTCTAAGTAGTCCACCATTAGCAGTGGTTTACCTACTTCATACCACTGGCGAGTATTGTATTTTGTTGATGTTATAATGATTACCATTTCATTTCTAACCTCCATTTTGGTTATTCCTCATTCAGTAACCTTTTCTAGGTTACAACAATAATCAGGTCTCTTTCTAAATAAAACCAGTGACAAGCTATCCATAACGATACACAGAGGAATAGTAGGAAAAAGTGATGGGAGAGAGATAGAGTAAGGAGCATTCTCACTGTGGTTCATTAGTCTGTCATGAAAGAAAACAGAAGTAGCAGTAAAGATGTCCTGAATGTCATTTACCTATTCTTACATGGCACCAAGTGAGTCCATAAATAAAGAACCCATTATATTGGAAATAGGATTTGTGTTTTCTTTTCTAAATGTGGTGATATTTCATCTTTTTTTCTTTTGTTGATGTTCAACACAGAGCCATTCCCAGTTTTTATTCACATTAACATAAATGGGAATTGAACCATGACATGGTGCAGAAGCCAATCAGTTGGTGCAAAACTGTTCAAGTGACTTGGCTGTATGTTCACATAGCTGTTTTAAAAAAAATCTCAGAAAATATGTACAAAATTAAATAAAAATTGATTTTCTGGTATGTCAACATCTGTGTGGGTAATGATTTGATTGTTTAACGGCACATTAACTCCTTATGGATCATTAAAATGTTGAGTGTGGGTAATGTTATACAAGTATGCTTTCATTATGTATCGAAAAAACTCTCTCTTAACAGACAATAATAATGAGAAAATCAAAGCCTTCAATGTAAGAAAATATCTACTATTACATACAATGATCATAAAAATATACACAGGCAAGTAGAGAGTCATTTCTGTATTTCAATCTTCAAGACAAAGTAGTCTTCAAAAAATTATGGTCTCTTGGATTATGTTAGTAGATAAATCATTATCACATATTCTGGACTTTAGGTCAGAATAAACAGATGCAATAATAATGAATAAAATTATCAACTCTTTTTCATACAGGATAGGTGTGTTTGTGGAGTAATAAATATCAATATGGAAAATGGGATCAGCAGGCCAGGGTTCAAATTCTGGGCTGAGGCTGTTGCATTGACTTCACACTAATGCCTTTGGTAAAGGCACAAATCCATCTCTTCCCTCACACTTAGGGTAATTAGTCCAGGAGAAAAAGGACAGAGTTCAAAACTGAAGGAGACAATGGAAAACCACTACTGCATTTCCCCAAGTACAGTCATGGCAATTCACAATTTACAGATAGCAAAGAAAAAGAAGGTGCAGAGAGCCATGATCACCTATATCATGAAGGGAGATGGTTGAAAAATAGAGTAAATAACATAACATTTATTTTCTCATAAAGAATAAAAATTTCTAAATGAAACACATACTAAAAAGTAAATATTTTAAGAAAAATCTAAATCAAAACATTTAAAATATCAGAATGTCGTATAATTTTGAATTCTCCTATATTGTACAAATAAGACTTTGTAAATGTGTGCAAAATATGAGTTATTTTGAGTTCTATCATTATATACAAGATAAGAAAGAAGTATCTAGGAATACAAAAAAAAAAAAATTAAGGAAAAGGAGAAAGAAGAGGCAAAAGGAAAAAAAGGAGAAAGAGAAAAGTTTTAAAATTGCTGCAGTTTGGCCAATAATTAAATTCCTTGGTTTGTTGCACACCAATAAATAAAGCAACAAAGGCAATAAAAAAATTCCAATGATACATAAAACATCAACCTAAATAGTTTTATTTCTGAGGTAAATTTACTGTAAAACTTTGAACAGACAAAATTAGCCACAGTTATTAGACTTTGAGGCAATAAAACATTTACAAATATTTAAAAATGAAAACTTTTTTTTTTATTTATTTTTTAAATACTTTGTTTATTATTTCTATTACAATAATTTTTTTTAAATAAAAATATTTTTCTGTCTGCAAATTGATAAAATTGAAAACATACTTGGTATGATGTAAGCATTCAGGTCAAAATTTTTGATAAATAAATTCCAAATGAAAAATAATTCAGTATTGAATAACTGGAATCTAAAAACAACTTGCATTTTTATTGTGATAGTCTTTTTATGTAGAAGGCAAAGGGATTATTAATTTCTTGGTTTAAACTACTCAAAATCTGAGCAAATGTTCAAACATTAAATTTTTGTTTGAAAGGGCTTCTTGGCCAGGCTGAAAGCTTTTCAACATATTCTTATAATTTTTTTGCTTTTAATTGGTTTCACCCCATGCAAGGCAGTAAAGTCACTAAGACTCAAGGGCTAATTGGGTATGGAAGAATTAGGAACAGAAACATTAATAATGAGTGGGAAGAGAAAAGAGTAATCAGGAGGACAGTAGATAGCAATTGACATTGCATTTAAATTTTTACAGATTAAAGTTGACTGGAAAGCATGGAGTTGGAAGGAAGTTCCACAAACAAGATATGTGAGAAAATAAACTGTTAGCATAGAACTTATGGTCACATCTAGGCAGCTCTACTGTAAATTGAAGAGATCTTGATGCTAGTCTAGTATTACACTTAAATTCAAATAGTCTAGGCACCATAGTGAAGAGCTTATCCAAACAATTACCATGAAAGTATTTATAGAAAAGACACAGAGAGGCAACTTTATGATGGTGGGAAAGTGACTGAAGCCGAGTTGCCAGATCAGGACCAATAATATTGCTGATTCTTCTTTGGATTTTATGAGGGAGCTCAAGGTAAATAGCAGGGGAACTGGACCATATGTGGCAGCAATATTTTAAGCATGGATGAATGGTAGACATAAGTCTACATGTATCATAGATTTTGGAGAGAAAAATGGTCTTGCATAACAAAGTGAACAAATTAGCAATTGATTCAATATAGTCTTTCCACTTCATGTCAGCTGAGAATATTAGCCTGAGAAGGTGCAAAGAGTTACTTTCCTGGAGGTTTGAATCATCCATGGAAGACAGAAAGAGGTAAAAATAAATAATATAATAATCTGTGACAAGATAAGAGAGTAATAGAGCAAAAGACTTGCTTAAAGTTTTAGCATGTTGTATTTGAACCATTTGATCAAAGAAACAGTATGTTTATTAAATAAGTTAGGATAATACAGGCTGTGGTAGAAATACCTCACACATAATGGTAAGACATTATTAGTTTGATGAAGAAACCATTGCCACTAATGTCTTATCATTATGTGGGAGGTATTTCTCATGCACCCTGTATATATAATGTCATGTCCCTTCAGAATATAGATTTTCAGATTCCTTTTCTTTATTATCTGTGAATTGCTATGATATCTTGGGAAAGATAATGGAGTAAGTTTTTGTTGGTTTCTTCATGGTTTTGAATTCAGAGTTGTCTTTCTAAGTTACCAACCAAGGATAGAGATCCCAGTTTACCTTGCTATTTAACTCATAGCTGTAAAAAATAAATAAACAACACAGATTCATGCCTTTCCCAAGGGTATTATTATGAAGTGAAAATGCAAGAAACTTGACAGAAAAATGAACTTGGCTTGCAAATTCCACTTTCCAGTGATAAATATGCTACCGGCACACACATGATGAAAAGATATCCAAGGTTCTAAAACAGTTCTCATTTGCTGATTTCTTGAAATCAGCATTTTAATGGTCAAAGATTATAATATTTTGGAAGGGTAAAAAAAAAAAAAAACTATTGTGAAATGATAAACCAAGTGTATTGAACTATGGGGTGAATATGAGGAATAATAGCAGGAATGATAATTCTGTACTCAGTATTAACAAATATTTTAGAGGAATCTATTTTAGGGAAAGCCATTCTTCTAACTTAAAATGCTGTTAATAATATTTTTAAAATATTAAAAGCCCTATTTTGTAAAGATTTAAGTAATTAACTTTTTGGAATCTGATTGTTTTTAATAAAAAATTCATTTTAGCTTCATTTTCTTCATCTTTTTATAACTTAGGATTTAGAAAATATGAAATTATCATAATAGGTTTAAAATATTAACCCATTAATGTCCAATATAAAATCTGGGATTAAAAATAAAAATCCAATATTAATTATAGGTTTATAAAAATTATTAATTATATATAACATAAAAACCTGGTATTAATTATAGATTTCTACCAATAACCTATTAATATCCCCTGTCCCAAATATTGGACAGTGGGCATTAATGTGTTAATAATTTCTTTTAAATTAAACAAATGATAGATTTAAATTAAGAAATAAAAAAAATTAATATATTCACCTAATCCTGTTAAAATACCAAATTGTGAATTATCATAACAAAAAACCTTATAAAATAGAACATAAAAAATTAAAATAAATTCTAACTGAATCAAAAATACTTTTTGTCATTAATGTATGATGGGGTACTGAAAGGTTCTTTTCCCAAATCAAACCAAGTAAACTCAATTTTCTGAGGGGGGAAAGGCTAAGAACGTTTCCATACCCCTTCATAGTTTATATAATTTCCTTGAAGAAACCCTTTAAAGCATATAAGACACATCTAAGCAAAAAAAAAAAAAAAGAAACAACCCCAAAAGCAAACAAAAAATTCACAAAAGCCAATTTATGATTGAACAAACATGAATATCATTTTGCATAGAAAATAGCATATTTTTAATATAAGCAACACTATTAAATTTTATTATATTGACAGATTTTCCATTCAGAAATTTTGGAAAAATTTTCCCTGGGTGGTTGGGGGTGGTAGGGGCGAGGGTTGGGTGTTACAAAATCCTCAAATAAAATTTGTCTATGGAAGAAATACAAGGCCTTCTTTTGTGCTTGAAAATTTTCTTTTTTTTTTTTAATGAGCAATAATGAACAAAGTGAAAAAAAATGAAAACAAAAAACAATTAACATGTAAGCATGTGTTAAATATCTACTTACCCTTTAACAACCAGAACATCCTCAAGACCACCTGAACACTTGACAAATGATCTTAGACGAGGTATTGTCATAAATACTCAAGTTGTGTGTTACTCCACGGTTCCAAACCTAACATATAAGTGAATGTCCCATGTAAGTCACAAGTCAGCTAGCGAGCTCCCTCCGAAACAAAGAGCATAAATGCATCAGGAAGCCTCAGTGATCAACAGGTACCGATAGACAAGGTACACAAAGGAAAAGGTAGCAGGTTACTTTAGGGATTAGGAAAATGTTTATATTTCTTTTTGAACCAAGCCAAAATCAAATCAAGGAAAAATAAGTAAAGTATTGGAATTATTTATTTTTTTCATTTAGTCCATGTATGTTCAGCCATAACTGATTTTTTAAAATGAATTTCTTAGTTTGAATCTGTGCGTTGTCAATCTTGATATCTTGATCCCTTTTAGTGAAAGATGATTTTGTTTTGGAAGCTAGGATCATTGCAGTTTCTGATACTGATGGCGTTGTGATTAAAAATCTTTCATTTTATCTTTTGTAAGATGCAGATTGAACTTAGAAGACTGAAGTGAACCAGGAAAAGTGATGGAAGGAAGCATTACCTTCAATAAACAGAGGACCATAAAGAGAAGGACAACAGTGTTCAGTACACAGCAGACAGAAATAATAATAGTAGTTGTAGTGAGAGAACTCCACTACTATTACTACTACAAGTGCTTCTAGCTGAGGGTGACAGTGTTGAGAGCTGATTGTTTTCGCTTAAGGTATAACACAGGTGGTTGTCCTACCTGTGGTGGATGTACAGGACCCTAATGACAGCCAGCTAGCGCAGCACATTTTTAAAAGCCTATTATTGATCAGGACTGCCTTGCTTTTGTTTAAGGGAACTTGAGAGAGAGAGAGAAAAGGAAAAAATATTGCTGCAGCCAGTGAGGTGAGCGGGTGGTATTACTTAATGGAAACTACCCTGTTTAAAATGGTGAGATATTAACAAACAGAAAATACATGCATGAATATATGCATATATTTTGACAATTTTACATATAAGTATGACAGCCGAATCATGTTGAAACATTGGTTCCTGTATGATCACCAAAAGTAAGCAATGCTGAGCCCAGTCAGTATCTTGATGGGTGACCACTTGGGAAAACTAGGTTCTGTAAGGTTGGAGGTGCAGGTGGTGTAATGGATAATGGCTTAGAATTGTTAATCAGTGTTCTGGGTTCTCATTCCACTTAGGTTTCTTATATTCACTTATACCTTGAGAAAGGTATGACTCCAACTTTTCTTCCCCCAACTATGGATTAATTAGCAAAACTTGTATCACTAAACCATTATTACCTAAAAAAAACAAAAACAAAAGATTTATAAACTAAAAATATTTTCTGGCTTTAAATAACCTGCAGAAAAAAAATAAATCAATCAATTGATCAGACAGACACCCATATATATATATATATATATATATATATATATATATATATACACACACACACACAAAAATATACACACACAAAAATATATATATATATATATATATATATATATATATAAAAACACACACACACACACAACATTACATGTGAAAAAATTGAAACACATTTTAATTTCTAAGATGTTTTTATTTTTCAAATTGGCAAAAGGACCAATATATTTTTAAAAAATACAAAAAAAAAATTTTTTTCTTAATTTTGAAAGTGTTTTATTTTATTTTTAAAAATTTTCATCAATAAACATTTATCAGTAAAATTTATATGGAAAGATCTTATTCATGGCTATCTGGTTAAAGTAAATAAAATATAATACCAATTCAAACAATGCTTAATTCTGTTCTTGTTGCTTTAGATGTGCTTAACATATCAATATTATTGGGGAATAAAGTAAATGTGAATCATATAAAAAACTAGCAGTAGAGCTCAGCGTTGCCCGGGGATGTAACAGTAAGAGATAGATCAAGTATCGACCATCATAAAGACTGAAAAATAAAATTGACAAAGATTATTGTTTATGGTTGACAGACACGCATGTCTTAATTAGTTTTTTTTTTTTTTTGAAAAGGTGAAACCCAAACTCAAACAAAAACATTGTTTTCAATCGTTATGAGTCTATCGATTGATTGAATAGAATTTTATTATAAACAATTGTCTTGTAAATGGAATATTTAAAGCATTCTGAATGTAAAAATAAAGAAAAAAGTGTGCAAGACAATAAGAAACACTACCTGCCAAAAAAAAAAAGTGAAGTTTTGTTGAAATCGGTTGAAAAATGTAGGAAATCCGATCCCATATATAAATGAACACACACAAACAACCTGGGTTTTATAATAAGTATAACTCGATACGAGTTGTCCCCCTTTCATTCTGGTGACAGAATCGTGTTTTATTGTGTTTTCAAATTGATTTCATGCAAAAACAATTGTGTTTTTACATTCTTTGGAGCTGTTAGAACCACAGCAAGGTAATTTTACGTAGTTCTGTGAAGTTTTGTTGAAATCTGTTGAAAAATGTAGGAAATCCGATCTAATATATAAACGTACAGACACACACACACACACACACACACACAATCTGCATTTTATAATAAGTAAGATGACCTAATATTCCAAAGATAATGTGACCAGGATCTTTCAGCAGTAGTACACAAGTATATTGGTATGTTGCTTGCTTGTGAGGTCAGAGGTTCAAATAAGAGCAGAGTTCACTTAATTTTATATATCTGTTTACTTTAGTCATATATGGAAAAATTTCATTAGAAACAAAGAGGACTGGATTGCTATGTGATATCGATCCTCTTACATAGCAATGAATGTTGGAAGTGGCAGCAGAACTGTGGCTCTACTGAAGGATACTGAAAATTCCGTGGATGGAACAAGTAAGCAACAAGGAAGTCTTAAAGAAAATGGCAAAAGAAAGAACACTTCTACAAAGAATAAGGAAAAGGCAGCTGAAATTCTTTGGACATGTAATGAGGTAGGAGGTTTTGGAAAACCATGACCTTCATAGAGCATATTGAGGGTAAGAGAGATAGGGGAAGATGATGAGCTTGTGTAAATGGATGATGACAATCTTAGTAAAGAGAGAAAACTGCTAAGAGCCACATGAGATTGGAAGTTGTAGAGAGCCATCATTGTAACTGAAGGGATGTGGCATATAGAAGTTTACTTTAGCATAATAAAACCAACCAATAAACAAACAAAACTGCCATTACAAGAAGATACATATCACTATAACTTCTTTAATTACAGATTTTGGGGTTACTATCTACAGGTAGTGATATTAGCATAAAATAAGAGACTTTCAACTGGAAATGCAAATTGCTTCAGATTAAGAAGATTATGGTAAAGAAGATTTAAGCTGCTTAGAACCTTCAACAAAAATCTAGATAAAAAACCTGGAATAAAATGTGTTCTATGAGAAAGCATACAACACTCCAACACAATTTTTAACAAATTCGATTTATACTTAAGTTTGATAGAGAGAAAGAGAGAAAAGAGAAAGAGAGAAAAGAGAAGAGAGAGAGAGAAAAAAGAAGAGGAGAGAGAAGAAAAGAGAATTGAAAGAGGAATAGAAAAGAAAGAAAAGGAAAGAAAAAACAAGAGAGAGAAAAGAGAAGAGAGAGAAGAAAAGAGAGAAATAAAAGAGAAAGACAGAAAAGGAGAGAGATAAAGAGAGAGATAAAAAGAGGAAAAGAGACAGAGCAAGAGAGAGAGAGAGATTTAAATCCCTACAGACATGATGATAATGATTATCATCCATTTACTCATATGACAGAAATTCTTACATATTGAAATTCCTTAATTCAGAGTAAATAAAATTAGTAGGAACAGTCCAACATGCAAATTACGAACTGTGTGATTCCAAAATTTGAAAGAATTTGAAAGTGATGGCATATAAGCTCTTTAGGATTCCAGCCAATCGACTGAAAAGCTGCATTGATCACTCAACTGCTGTATGATATTTTAAAGGTAGAGGGAAATTTCAAAAAGTGAGAAAAATGGATTTCATTTGAATTGTCCATTGTGAACCAATGGACAGTGTCTCATCTGGATTTCACAACTCTTTTGCAGAAGGGTGTCATTGGAAATGAAAAGTAAATTCATTATGATAATCTGAAATGCTGAAAATCATGAGTGGAAGCAGGATAGCCTGCAGAGTCAACAGTAAAACTTAAAACATTTTGGAAAAAAAGATGTTGCTCATTCTTTGTTGGGATTATGAATTGCTGAAGCCTGCAAAACTCATTGCAGATCATTACACTTGTCGTCTTTTAAAGTAGGAACATTGCATTTGAATAAAAGACTATTAACAGGAAAAAGAAAGCCAGAAAGTTATTCTGCTGCATGAGAAAATAAAACAAAAAACAATCAGGTTGTAATCAGAAATTCTTCCTTACATGGTATATTCACTAGAGTTGATGCCATCAGATTATTCTTGATTTCAATCAATGCAGCAATCCTTATTTGGTCAAAAAGTTAACGGTCACTTCAGTGTTCCAAATTTCATTAGCAATTTTACTGCATCAAAGTCAGTATTGTTTTATCAAAACAGAATTTGACAACTTCATAAGGTCATTAAAAACTCAAGGAAAATATTTTGATGATTAATAAATGTATGTACCAGTTATTAACTAATTTGAATTAAAAAAAAAAAAAGTCCAAAAACTGGAAACTTTTGCAAACACTTAATTATAATTACAGGTTTTTATTAAAAGGCTTACAGAATTTTAAATTTTAAGTAGAAAAACAGTCATATAACATGGATGAAGAGACTATTTTGTTCTAAATTAGTTGATTTCAGTAATTTTAGGAGATTACATTTTTAAGGCAAGAAGTAAATAAATATATGTGTGTGGGTGTGTGAGAGAGAGAGAGAGAGTAAAATGAACAACTTTTATAAAACATCCTGGCTTTTAACTTGTTGAAACTTGCCTTTTTAGAAATGATTTAGAATTTTTATTAATTTTATATATCAAAAATATGAAAAAAAAAGTTTTTTTTTTCTTCTTTAGGTGCACATTTCTACATTTTGTATCAACATATTTAATGCCTTCTAAGATATATTATTATACCGATAGT